TCTTGCTAAAGCACTTTGGTTGAATACCAGGTCCAAGTCGCGTTTTCACAGGTCTCACTGGGCAAACCCTAGTGAAACCAGTGACTTACCAGCAGGGCTATTCTTACTGTTCTTACCTTACTGCATAAGGCCTACAGAGACAGACCAGATAATGTATTTTTATTGAGCTAATGGACCTTGGGAAGGCTGTGCAATGCTCTGCCTATGGGGTAGGCCCCAGATTTTTAGGTCTTTGTTCTGCCAAGGATGCCTGAGGGTAGAGCAGGGTACATTTCGTTGGTGAGTGCATGAGACTTGCTGTTTGGAACACATGTATGGAGAACACATATCGAGAGCTCCAGATACTTTTGCCAGTTTCTGTTCTTTTCTTCCCTAGGTTGGATCAGACAGCATCATTGGGTCATCCACACAAGTTGGGGAGAAGACATCTATTAAACACTCCATCATCGGCAGCATGTGTACCATAAAAGACAAAGTTAAGATAACAAACTGCGTCATCATGAATTCTGTTACAATTGAGGAAGGGTATGTCACCTCTTTCTATCTTGGTCCCCTAAATTTGCAGTTTCTTTTTCTAGATAGATTCTGAGTCAGTAATTTCTGTCCCGTAAGCAGTCCTCAGCCAGAACAGTTGATACCAGGGGGTGTGTTTGTAAAGAGTCAGAAATAAGTCTCTATAAGCAGGCTACGAGTGCACAAGTGAAGTGAATTAACGAGAGGGCTGCAGTCTTGAAACATAAATTTCTTCTTTTTAGAGGAGATCATCCTCAGAATGTGTAAATAAGTTAAGTGGATGTATAAGTCTGTATGAGCTTGTGTGTCATCCTTCCAAGCTTTATTTTAGTGGCTGGGTCTATGAGTATACCTAAAATATTTGAGGCACGAAGCATATTTTAAAGCGGTATGCTTACAACTAGAAATGTTATCACCTTTGAACATTCCAGTTTCACCTAAAATGTCATTTTCTTTGGCCCTTTTTTGTCATCTTGCAGCTTTACTTCACCATTGCGTATGGTGAGTAATAGGATAAATGAATAAACTTCTCAGATGGAAAATCTGCCAGCTAGTAGAGCCTTCCCATGCATTAAAGGCACTAACTAAATAGGTAGCCTTGAACTGTTCACTTCCAAATGTGGGAAAAGTGGCCTATCTGTAATTGTTGATGTCTGCATGCCCCCATCTTTCCATACATGCTGGCTTCCTGTGGATGTCAGTGGAAAGGAAACTGCTGATTGAGTCTGTGCAGGCCTGTATAAATTCCCTGCTCCTTCATGGCTTGAGGTTTGCTTAGGGCCTCAGGAAAAAGGCCAAACTCTTAAAAAATGCCAAGTTGGCTCTGAAAGTTGCATATCTGAAAAACAAAAAAACCCCAAAGGATGTGGGGTCTATGGAGGATACTACTGTTACATAACTAAATTACAGGTAAGTATGGTACCTTACTGCCAAGTGTTTGTCTTTAATAGAAATCCACAGTAATTTCAAGCACATCATAAATCAGAATTCCGTTGAGTATAGAAAATAGCTGGTTTCCAGTTTAATCACAAATGGATCCAGTATGGCTGCATCACAAACTGTCGTAGGAAGTACCAGGACCCCTCTTGTCTGATCATGAGACCCTCTGTCATTTTGATTAATGAATTGATGCCACGGTCATACTGGTAGGGTTTTGCATATGAGGTGAGCGGCTCTACCGTTAAATCACAGAGGCAGCTAAGTGTATAAATAGTGCTATTTTGATGGAGAGTCCCAAACCAGCTTGTGTTTGTCTGCACTGGTCTGTAGTATTATTCTTTTCTAAATCCTAAATTGAGCTCAGTGTCGTTATCTTAAGCATTCCACAAAATTCCACAAGCATCATAAAGACGGCGATTTTTTTTTTAAGAGGGGAAAACTAACTTTTGGGGTAACATTTTTGTGAATTTCTGGAAAACAATGTCGCCACCATTGAGTGAAAACCCGCCTCGTCCCTGGGGTTCACCCCTTTAGCTGCTCTGTGGTTACTGCACACGGAGGCACTGGAGTCAAATTTGTAATTACTCCACTGCAGCCAGAGTTAAGATTACAGACCACGGAGCTTTATGTCAAAGCATGTTGTAATTCAGATTGCCTAGATTATACAGATACTGAGCTGATAAAGCATTTCTTATTGCCTCATAAGCCTTAAGATTAGAGGGCTGTGAAGTCATGCATACGCAGGTAGCCAGATACAGAAATCTTCTAGCAGATGAGTTTTGTTGAAAGAAGTCTTGCTTGTAGCTTAGTGAAGAATTTCTATTCATTTTAACCCTCTTTCATTACTTTGATTAAATTTGATAGATTTTTGTTAAAATGCTAATGAGTCTTTCACATGTTGATGGATCCATTAGCAGCAAGTGGATAAATTATATGTGGTTCTGCTGTAAACTGCCCACAGTGGACAGCTTCTCATTACAAACATCTCTCAAGTGCCTCTGAAATAACTTGGGCTTTATCTCATCACCAACTTCAGAAAACATCGTGGACTTCAATCGAAAAGTCGGTATACGTTGGCTGATATGGGTCAAACTGAGCATAATAAAGTGCCTTAACGGATTTAATTAATTTTTTTTCCATAGCAAATGTCCAAAAAGTAAGCCAATTTTAACACCATCTAAAGTATATTAGAAACTTCTGGAATTACACTAAGGAGTGGATAAAAATCATTTAAAGCATACACCTTTTAATGCTGTCATGTGCCGCTCCACCGAACTAACGGGCTACTGCACTAAAGCTCTGGTCAAATGTGAGTGGTAACTGAAGGCTTACTGCCAGCAGCGTTCGTTGTGGTGACATAGCAACTCAAAGCAGTAGGCTAAGACTGCAGTAGGGCACGTATGGCAAAGACAAAGCTGTTCAGATAACCCAGAGAAGGAGGAAAGATGGGGGAAATAATTTCTGAAATTCAGAAGGCTGGGAACAACCAAACACAAGAATTGCTTCATATTCTAAGTTTTATCAAGAATTCCAATTATACATGACACTTCCTTGGTAATTCCATTACCACTTATATCACCTCTAGCTTCTCCAGGTTGAATCTTACCTTTTACCTTTTTTCTTTTTCCCCTCCCCCATCTCATCTCCAAAAGTGATCAGCAGGTTCAGTTCACTATGTCAATATAGGGGAAAAAAACCCAAAACAAACCAAAACCCAAAACAGAGTAAATAAAAAAAAACCAAACAGATGAAAAGTTTTCTCTCTTGCTGGTTTTCCTGTAATGTGACTTGAGGGTCCTGTGCCATAGTTCCTGCAGCTTCAAGATCCACAAATTACATCTCCAAAACAGAAAAAGGTTTTGAGTAGCCTCACTGCATGTGATACCAGCTCCTGGAACAGGTATCTTTCCGGGCAAACGGGAACACGCCAAGGTGCTTGGAACCAAACTGGGTTCCTGTTGTTAGTCCGTGGTTGGCTCCTTGTTGGAGAAACAGAATTTAAGACCTGGATGATGATGACCTTCCCAGCTGAATGGATGAAGGAACTGGGGTTCGCTTGGACGGTGCCGTTGCATGCTGTTTGCAAATTGTGATACACTTTCCCGCAGTGGCTGGTGTGTTTGATATGCTGAAGGACCCGTAGCTGGCTTTTTTTGTTTCCCCTGGTGTGTAGGGCTTCTGTTATGTCATGTATGTCTCCTGTGAAGTGATTTTAGTAGATACGAATCCCCCCTTAGAAGAGATTACAGGGGATTAAAGAAGTTAGTAACATGGGCAAAATACTTGGTAGCCCTTTCTTAATGTGTTTCCCACTGTGCACCTAATTCTTCCATCAATGAGACAATAAAATAGCGAAGATTACATATGTGCTGAATGATGGACATACTTGACCAAGCTGGGAGGGATGTAATTTATACAACAGCGCAAGTGCTGAGAGATGCCGATTGCCCAGGTGACAGGCTGCGGCGGGGAAACGGTTCTTGTTTCCCTCTGGACGACTCCCCAGAGCTCGGTGACAAATGATTGCACTGAGTTACATAGTTGGAGAAAATCTGCTCTTTAAGCTGAAATTATAGGTCACTTGAAAACTTTGTGTATCTCGATGCTTCTGCAGGAGCTGTACGTGTCCTCGATCTCTGTGGACCTTGGGGCTGTACGTGTCCTCGGTCTCTGTGGACCTTGGGGCTGCCCCTTCAGTGTGTTCTGTTTGCCTTAGAGGTGGAGCAGGGCAACAGGGTCCCTGGATTCCTGCGTCTTTGGTGCAGGAGTCCCCTCACTGCAGCTTGCTTGGGAAGGGGCAGCCTGGAACGCCTGCAGACTGACTGCAGCCGGTTATGTAGGGAGGCTGTGCCATTTGCAAGTGAAAAGCAATGTCTCCAATACATTAACTCCACCCTGATATCTTTATAGGACAGGAATTACCACTGTTGGGGCTTGCAGACAATCTCGCAACTAATTATGCTGACCTGAGTGTGATAAGTGTGTTCCATCTGGTACTCGGGCACACTTAGCTTCCTTGAAATGAGACCTAGATATGGATGAATTCAGCTTCAGGTTCCTGTTTTGGCTTTTGTTTTGGCAGTTGGCCATTGGTTTGTTGTTGGTTGTTTGGTAATTTTTTTTTTTTTTTT